TGAAATTTGACTTTTTCGTCAAAATGAAATTCGCAAGAAGCAACGTGTTTTCGCGCACTTTATTCATGGCACTTTGGCATCAGAACTAATTTTAGCGTTCGTTTTGAATTTTGCTTTTATGCGGTTGAATCTGATGATTTGCCAAAGTAAGTGCATGGCTTTTATTGCAAACATTCTATTGATAAGTGAAGCTTTTGAAGAGATTGCTTTTGAGAAAATCGGACAAAACAATAAATGTTTCTATGGAAAAGAAAAGCTATGGTCCTTGCCAAAAAAGCAGTATGAGCTTGCGAAGTTAGAAGTTGTTGACGGCAAAAAAATTCCTAGTTAGTTGTTGTCCGATTGCAAATGGTCGTGATAATCATTTCTTGAGCCGGCGTGAAAGCGCAGAATAGGGTACATATATGGAAAATTTCTTTTAAGAGTCTCTAGTTACATGGCTGCAGTAAGTCTGAAACGCTGATTTTACATTCTTCTTCTTAACTGCCAGGCCTTATTATGGAAGAGTTGTGGGATTCATTTGAATGAATCCTCTCATCATCTCGAAGAACTCGATAACTTTTATTCACATATGCCCACATATTTGTAGCGAATCTTTCTGTCCAAACCCTGTTCTTTCATATAGAATATATGAATCAAACATTAGAAAAATGTACACCTCTTTTGATGCTTTGCTATGAAATCTTTGATCTACTTTGATTTCTGGAATATAAACCTCTTAGCGAACAGACAACCCCTCCGGTCTGCAAGTCTCCTGCTTCGGTGCTCTATGGTGAGTCACAGATTTCTTGTACGAAGATGGAATGTAAGTTTGAAGGCCGCGGATACATGTCAAAATGAGGCTGTAGTGCTGGTAGAATGTGCAACACCCATCGAGTTTGCGAAATTTATGAGGCGGTCTAGTTTCTTGAAGATGGTGCTCGACACCCACTCCTCACCTCAGTTGGTAAATTTTTACAGTCCCTACCCGTCTTTGAAGAAACGTGTTCTTCACCATCGAGGGGATCAAATATCTGCATGTATAAGCAGGTAGACGGTTCAGATGCTTGCTTGCACCAGAATAGACCGTTTATAAGCTTCAAACGCGTCTTTCACCTTGTAAGAGCTTTCACTCTTTTTTGCGATGCTTAATGGGTACCATCCATCCATATCCTCGATTTTTATGTTTTTGTCTTTCCGTGGGTCGAAAATCCGCAAATCCAGACAATACCCGTTCCGAACGGTGACGAGCACGGATGGATGATGCCGCCTACATGTGCTCAAGCCTCTTCGTTATTCAGAATCGATTTTCTCGCCCGAAGCCATATTGCGCGTCATGACTTGGGCATAGGCTTGACAGGAGGTCCTGCTATTTATACTGGCAAAAACTCAATATCCCTAACTTAGGGTGGACGGTGCATTCAAACTGTCGATGGTCATCTAAAGTGTACTGGAGAAAGAGTTTTGTATCCTGTCATTGAAAAAATCTTTAGGCTTTGCAATCAAACTTTTTTGCTTTTCCTGATCAAATTATTGAAGTTCTCAACAGTTTTTTAGTCAAATTACCATTATTATCATTTACAAAAATGAGGAGTTGAAGGAAACCCTTCTGACGAATCGTAGTTTCATTTCCAAAATTCGTCGTAAATAGATAAGGAAGCGTGGACTCCGTTTCTAGAAATTTAAGGAGACAAAATAACAGCGCGCAACTGGTCATCCTAATTAACTATTAATGTTATCTTGTGGCAAAAACTCGTTAGATTCTCTTCCGCACCTTTGAAAAAACTCAGACTTCACTGTCGACAAAGCTGCAACTCAACTACATGCCGAAGTCAAGCAAAATTAAAACAGTGTTTGTGAATAAGACAAGTGGTTAATGGAGTAAAGCATATCAAAAAAAAATTTCCTTAGTGCTTATTGCAGTTCTGGACGGCAATGCGGCTTCTCGTTTTGAGGTATCTTACCTGAAGGATGGGGAAAAGCGCTCAGTGATTTGTGACTTGTTTGTGTTTTCCGAAGACTCGATAAGTCACTCTAACTCTCCATTGCATTATCTTTTAACACAAAAAATGCGTGAACTTTCAAATTGCTTGGCCAAAAATAGGGTAGTCTACATACACTCAGACAATTATGGCGAGCGCCCGCCGACCACCTACGGGCGACGCCACGCCCATCCCGAGGGCGCGCCGATAAGTGCCCGGTAAGCGCCCGAACGATACCAGCGGATGCTCCGATAGTCGCCCGATAATCGCCCGACAACGCCCGCGGATGACCCGATAAGCGCCCGAAAGATACCCGCGGATGCCCCGGTAAGCGCCCGATGACTGCCGGCCAAGCGACCGATGTGTGCTGACGGGTGTCCCTCCAAGCACCCGATAAGTGTGCGACAATCACCCGTGGGTGGCCCGAAACGCGCCCGGTACACTGTTGTTTTGCATGCCCGCAGGCAGTGACAGTTTATATCCCCTCAGACCAGAGGTGCGATAGTCGGAGCCGAGTCTCCGCTTACCTTCACTTTTGAGCTGGTACGGGGTGACCACCTTTACTTTTGAGTTTGAAAATTTTTTTTTGCTGAAGCTCAAGAGAAGAAAAATAAGCAAAAAGAACGCAAAAGAAAGTATTGAGAGCATATATCTATGTAGTAGGTCGATCCAGGCAGTAACCACCGAGAACCAGATTTTCGAATAATAAAATAGCGAAAAATCATGCGAAATTTCCACTGTTATAAATCTGGTGGGTGAAGATGTCAGCAACTGCGACTTCATAGATTTTGAAGGGCAAGTGTTGTTCTACCAGACAGTGAAAAAATTAGATCGATCTGAGCAGTGGTCGCCGAGAGCGAGAATTTTAAAAAATTAAGCGATTTTAGGTTACTTAGTGACAGCTTGCGTTTAGACTCCCATAAATCTGGAATGTGAAGGTATGAAATGTTGCATAGCTTTTGTAGAGCAAGAATTGCTCTATCGGACTGTGTCTTAGACGTACCGATCCATCAAGATACCGCAGAGATTCAGGCTCTTAAAAAAACAGGCAAAAAACCGCTTTTGAATTTCAACAACTCATAACTTCTTCAGAATTGCATAAATCATGTTGCATCTTCATAGGTTGGATTCTCCTTTTCAAGGGCTTTCAAACGATATATAATATGTGGGGGTTTCGTGCCCCTCACGGCATATGCTCAGATAATCGCCCGGGGCAGGCGGTCCGCAAACTCGCGCTTTTCTGCAGGCGGTCAGCAGAATTTTGGGGCGTGGCCAAACCTTCAGCGGGTGGCACTTCCTTTACGGTCGCTATTCTGCCAGCGGGCAGCAATACAGCATTTTTTGCAAGCGCTCGGCAAATAGTTTTTTTCAGCGAGCGCTGGCCAAACTTTCAGCATGCGCTCGGACTCTTTTTAGGCATTTTCTGGCGTACGTCGAGCACAGGTAAGACTCTGTGTGGCAGAGGTGACACGCTGGTTTAATTACTCAAGTTTGAGGTACTTTCTCTCAGCGGAAAGTACCTGGGGGTTGCGAGGTCCTCCACAAAGGACCGCGCGGCCCTCGAAATTTTTGCATATTCTCGCGGAAAGTCCGAGAGAATGCGGCCACTGCGCCGCAGCTAATCTATAAAGAAACCGCGATTGTTCTTCAAACATTCGTCTTTAATTTCGCCAACTTTCTTCCAAATTTCTGCAAGCGGACCGCAAAAAATCAACGGACTATTTTTCCGTTGCGCGCTTGCTCAAAATTCGCATCGCCGCATGCCCCCGGCGGTTATCTGAGTGCCCGGGGGTGGAGACTTTTCACCCCAAAGTCTCCACTAGCGGTCTCCGGCCAATACATTAACATGGGCGAGGTGGAGACTTTGGGGTAAAAAGTCTCCACCCTGGGTTAGAGCCGCAAAAATCCATTGAACTCCCCACATATTATATATCGTCTGAAAGCTCTTGAAAAGGAGAATCCAACCTATGAAAATGCAACATGATTCATGCAATGAAGAAGTTATGAGCTGTTGATTTCAAAAAGCGGTTTTTTACCTGTTTTTTTAAAAGCCTGAATCTCCGCGGTATCTTGATGGATCGGTACGTATAAGACATAGTCCGATAGAGCAATTCTTACTCTACAAAATCTATGAAGTCGCAACATTGCACACGTTCACATTCCAGATTTATGGGAGTCTAAGCGCAAGCTGTCACTAAGTAACCTAAAATCGCTTAATTTTTCAAAATTCTCGCTCTCGGCGACCACTGCTCAGATCGATCTAAATTTTTCACTATCTGGTAGAACAACACTTGCCCTTCAAAATCTATGAAGTCGCAGTTGCTGACATCTTCACCCACCAGATTTATAACAGTGGAAATTTCGCATGATTTTTCGCTATTCTATTATTCGAAAATCTGGTTCTCGGTGGTTACTGCCTGGAGCGACCTACTTTATTCGCAATACGTTATAACAAAATTTACTTAATAAAACACGTAAAGTTTAACTGGGTTTTACTTACAAATAGACCATTTAAATAACACGTTTATTTCTTTTTTTAAAATTTTTCTGCCGCTGTACTCATCGTATTTGTGGCCCTAAAGAGGGCCGTTAGGTCACACTTGTTGGCCCTTAAGGAGACCAATGGGTCAGAGTTCTTCAATTATCCGAAGTCCTCCCCCCCCCGGTGAGTGTCCGGCACTATCACCTACACTTTTGGCCGGCCAGTGGTAGCTGGAACCACCTTCACTTTTGGGGGGGGGGGGCGGCTCCACTTATCGCACCTCTGTCTCAGGCAAAAACAGAAAATCAAAAATATTTTTATTTGTAAAGTTTGTTACAAAGAAAGAGACACATTAAAATTATGCAAAGGCACAAAATTTTGACAATCAAAGCACCGTAAATCAATAGAATATTCAAAATATCTTCTTTCTAATCGAGTCGAACACAGTCGCGCAGTCCATTTACAGTTCCGGAGACGTTGAGCTCCCTCGACATTGAGATGCCTCATCATCCTCATGACTGCTTTCTTGCTCTGCTTTTGAAAATGGCACGTTATTATTATAATCTGTGCATAAATGAACTTACCTTTGCTGGAGTCCATCCCAAATCCACATCGAATGTGTACGAGCGTATGCCACGCCTAAATAAAAAGATTTAAATTCTAGGAAAATGGTATATAATTTAACTTACAATGCTTTCTGTAGTGCTGCAAACAGGTATCCGCTCCAGCTGCTCCTCTGCGTCCGGAGCTTCTCAAACGCTTGTCGCCTTTCTGCCTCAGTAGAGCCGAGGCCATTGTAGAACGCGGAGTCTGTAAGGTCCATTGTCTCGTCCGCTATCTCTTTTCGTCCAAATCCCAGGACGTCTTCGCCAAAACCTATAACAAATAAATTAAATAAGTAGCAGAGATATTTACAGATTAGAGATAAGATGAGAAATGATTTCCAAAAGTACCTAATAGTGCTTCAACGTGCTCCGGGAGATTCGATAACTTCTCATCCCGACCACTCCGCCGGTTCATCCTCATGGAATACATCTGAATTGCTTGTGGTGAGTCGGTAATCTGAAATTGCTTGTCTTTTCGAAAAGTACAAGTGAAAAGTGAACTTACTCACGTAAGCAAATGTCTGTATAATGCGCCCATTTTTTGAAAATTTACATCCTTTTTTCTTGGCTGCCATTTGGCAGCCAAGGACTTCAACTTGCATTGCTTGAAAGGCGGGTTTGCTTTGATCCTCCTTATGTTAGCGCAGTTGTTGAGGTCCACATTTGTTGTCGCTGTTCCGTAGTCTATTTGTCTCTTCTCGGTGAACTCGACTGTCCTCGCCAAGCGTAAATGCGTTGCTCGATTGATTTCACCCTATAATAGATTACAGATCATTGATAGCGAACATGAATAGATTCTTACCAGTAACCGGAGCGCGACATGGTTATAGCTCCACCAATTTTCTTGCTCATTGTCCAAGTCGTCGAAGTTCGGTTTTGCTCGGTATGCTACGTCTGACGTTAGCAGCCCATGGAAATATTGCGAATTTCGCTTACCTCATAGACGGCGCTGTTGAACGTCCCTTCCTGTCGCTTTTTGCAAATTAGAGCCGCCGCCTTTCCCATATTTAGTATGCCCCTCGCCACGCAGTCGCAATAAGTGCTCGGGTCACATTGCACAGTTCCTCGTGGGGGGTCTTCATCAGATCTCTTCTTTCGCACACGTTTCCTGAATGAAGATAACAAGTAATAGAAGATAAACGATGACGAAGACTTACCATAAGCAAACGACTCCTCAACGTCAACGAATTCATCTTGCGTGAGTGCTGGTTCTACGAGCGCTCGCCTTTTTCTACAATATAAACAAGAGCATGACAAGAGCATGGTCTTTGAGATAATCCTCACGCATAGCCAATAACCCAGCAGCGCTGTTGCTGCTACTGGGCAAGGGATGATTCCTACAGCAGCCGTCAAGGGAAAACTGTTCCTGCCAACTAAAACACTCATAGTTCCTCGAATAAGGGAAACCGCCATTTTCACAAACTTCATCAATTTCCGTAGCTGTGCATGTCGGTAGATCCTCTATCGACAAGATTAAGCTGTTGACATACGTATGAAAAGACGCACCAACGAGGCATTTTTTTGATCTCTTGCAGATTTTCGCGCGAAATCCTCATGTCGGGGTACCTCGTAGTGGCACTTGTAAGGTCTGAATTCAGCTAGATTCATGATATACACCGTAACACGAGAAAATGGTGCTCCCATGCAAAATCCATATGTTATTCATATTCAGGGTGACAAGTGACCCCTCTAGGTGAAGTTTCCCGCAAAATCCGCGACATCGACCCCCTACTGTAATCCTACCGTAATTCAAGTAGATGACATTAGTGTGCAGAATAAACATGATATTCGTGTTCAGCATGATAATTAACCCCCCTAGGCGAAGTCTGAGCGAAATCCACGTCGTTCACTTTTCAGGTCAACTAATTAGTCAATTGATTACATTAATGTGGAATAGCGCCTATATATTAGGTCGTTCCGAAAGTTCTTTCCGTTTTTTCAATCTATCATAAAACACGTGGAATGAGGGTAGAGGAACTCTTCAGATGCTATCCGATGCATTTTTTCTTCCTCTTTTCAACAGTCATATTTCTGTGTCGCTTGCTCTTGTGGTCAGTTAGATAATGGCCGAAATTTCAAACCCATGGTTTTTACCATGTCCAATCTTGGCAATTTTTCACACTTTCTTTTTTGACTTTTGGAGAAGCTTCAATAGCAGTTCGATAGAGTAAACAAAGTGCAATTTAAAGGAATTTTTTGGCAATTTCAACTGGCTTCTCACTATTTTTTAAGATAACTTTTCCAGAAATGCTCACTTTTTCAAAGTGACAAAACACGCAAACGCTTCGAACATTAGCAAATCTTCGGATTTTAACACTTTCAACAGTCGTTTATGATTGTCCACTATTTTTACAAAGTAACTGAGTGTTTACCGCTTCGAAATATGAGATTTCGCATTTCACGTGTACATTCCTAGACGGGTTCAAAATCACGAGTTATGGGAATTTTATAGCTAAAACCCCCCACAAACTGGGAAGAAAAATACTCAATAGAAAGAGGAGGAAAAGCTGCATCGAATGACACCTTAGTTGCGCGCTGTTTTATGTTCTATGGTTCTTGGCATCAATAAAAGTGGAATTTGATAGCATTAGAAAAATAATTCAAAAAAATTTTTAGGGCTAGCAATAGCCACCAAAAATTTTCATTAAATTGCACTTCGTTTACTCTATCCGACTGCTATTGAAGCTTCTTCAAAAGTCATAAAAGAAAACTGTGAAAAATTGCCAAAGTTGGACATGGCAAAAACCATAGTTTCGAAATTTCGGCCATTATCTCACTGACCACAAGAGCTAGCGGCACAGGGATCTGACAGTTGAAAAGAGGAAGAAAAGTTGCGTCGGATAGTGCCAAAAGCGTTTCCATACTTTCATTCCACGTGTTTTTATAATAGGTTGAAAAAACGGAAAAAACTTTCGGAACGACCTAATATAAGATTATGCATGCCTCCACTTTTACTTGCTCTCATACTTGCTATTTGCTCTCCTCCCGGGATACTTATGTCTGTCAGTACAGGTTGCAAAATGTTCAACGCGTTCAACTGCTTTCGATATGTTTGACAATCTTATCGATTTCGCGCGCATTCGGCCGCTTTCATTCATCCACTTCGGCTGCGTACAAATCGTAAAATCTCATTCCGCTTTCTTACCTGAGTATCATTTCTTTTACATTTATTTTGCGCCGATCGCCACTCTTGTCACTGTCATGCGCTAACGCCGCTTCTCCTTTTGGAACCTGACTGGGGTGACTAAACTCTTTACTTTTCAATTTTCTTTGCTTTTATAATGTTTTTCTTTTCTTCTTCTATAGTCTATGCCCCCTCTCCTTGCTGAGGAGTTCCGGAGGGTTTTTTTGTTCTGCTCTCCGTCCAAGGGTAGGAACAAAACGGAGAAATCGATTTTATTTTTCTTCAACCTTTTTCTCCTTTCATCGCCTTTCTTTTTTCATCGCTCTTCTTTCATCACTCTCTTTCACTATTCATTTGATGTGTCTGTACCTCTTAATCTGTCGCGGGTGACTCCTTCTGAGCAAACATGTAAGGCATCGCCAATAAATCGCAGGGTGGGATAAGTCGCATGGCTGGCGTTTTTTCTAAAATCATTGAAATTACAACTTTTGTGTACAATCGCATAACCTGCGGTCAGTTCTTACTTATTCCGTACTGCTCCAGCTCGCCGTCAATTTCATAAGATTCTCGGCTTCTCATGCGTTTATCTTCATCATTGCCGGCAATTCACACACGACTTCTTTCGATGCGATCGCCCTTGATGTAGCATTTCGAGCAGCCATAGTCAGCAGTCCATCTCGGGGTTCCTAGAGTGCCTGTTGAGCCTTAAACATTTATCTTTATCCTGAGTGAATTTTATTTTTCAAAATCATTCCCACAGCCATATCTGCGACTCCTTTATACAATCGCACTTCCACATTCCACGTATTCCTATTGAGTTGTACTTCAAGTGGAGCATCACGCAGGCTCGCAAGCTCGGACTCAAACCTGCACTACTCATTTTTTTCAATCTCAGTCTTAACTATGCCTCACCGAGTGAACAGGATCTCCATCATCTTGTCCGCAGGCTTTATGCGACTGTAGATAGCTTCTGCTAGTAAGAAGTTGTGATACTTGTTGGCTTCCGATTGGGGCAATCCTTCCACACGAAGATATAGTGGCCATATCTCTCTCCTTCAAGGGATAGGCTTTAAATTTAAGGGCTATGAGGTATCTAACCTCACTTTGATATCCTTCGCGGGCGGAAACCATCAAGAGACACCGATAAAAGCAGTTTGATATGGCCTTTACGAAACTCGTCAATTCTTTCAATCGCTTTTCTATAGCCAGGAAAAGACCCAATATCACTCCGATCTTTAAGCTCCTGTAAAGCTTTTGGTGCGAGTTGGAAAACATTTTGCTATGTTATACCGCATTCATATGAATTTCTTCATGCCTGCATAAAATGCTTTCGAAGTTTTTTGAGGACGTCTGACAGCTGAGGTACAATGTTGACCGAATGCACTTCAACCTTTTGAGTGTATTTCGCTCTTTTAGTGCTGATGCTGCAACTGATAATGAATGTACATCTAAATGTATAGAAAGCGGGAGACGGCCTTTCTGAACCGCTAGCGTTATTAGCCTAATTAGTGCGCGGCCTCTGATTGGTCGGCGCTGCCGCGGCGCTTGGGTAGGCGAGAGCTATGCTGTCGTTAGAGACGTCTGAATTTCCCATAAAACTCAAAAATATTATACGTGGGCGGTTAAGGTATTTTCTTCAGCTTACACGTGCAGACTTCATGGTGTTTTGAAAAGTGAGAAGGGCGAAGAAATCACCAAAGGCCAGTAAAAAACATGCAACTTTTCCAACTTTTTGTCTTCATAGTTGAAACATCGTCACTATCGTTATTTGTGTTCCTCGCTTGCTTTGGAATACTCAGAGATATTTGAAAACTCTGATAGATTATAAGAAAGGCAGAGTAATCAGCGGTAGGACGAAACGGTTCAGAAGGGCATACACCCATAGAAAGCAGATAACGGACCCGCGAATGTTACAGTTGTTCTTTTCACAAGCGATCTGACCCTCATGCATCTCTTCATTGCAACTACAGCAGAAAAAGTAGCGATCCCTTCTATACTCTTGCAAAAACTCTTTATTGAGATTGCGCACGTGCTCATTATACTAAGGATTGAATTAAAGACATGGACATTGTATAAAAAGTGGGAATTTTTCTACCGATATGGGAGGATGAGCGCCAAATACTATTGCCATCATGTCCTCTATAGTTGCTATTTCTTCATTCGAAAATCCAAAGCGCTGAAGGATTATGGCGTAGACTATGGTACGCTGATACATTGCTGAAATTCACAAATGATATGTTATTCAAATACGAGAAAAAACATTTGAGTAAAAACACACTCATATTCCTGTAATTTTCTGGCAAATCGTTGTGTTCCAGATGGGGATCTGCATCCGAATCAGATTCGAATGCAGAAATCTCTATTTGTGTAATATTCGTCATGGTTTCTTGGTGGTCCTGCTGTTGAAGTTCTACCCGCGTTTCCGCTTAGTGATGCCTTCCGATATTTCCTTCTCTAATCTCATTCATCTGATGTTCAATCCATACTAAAAGAACGGGGACGATTACTATGAAGTTAAAAATTGAGTAAATCAGAAACTGTTCTCGTGTTCAAACATACATTCATATCCTCGCATTCCAATTCTATTGATGGGAGGTAGCGATGAAGGAATACTTTTTCTTGCACTCATCGCTAATAGTTATAGTAGTTATGGTAACTGAATAAGCGGATATTTTTTTTTACAACGAAAACAACAAAAGCTTGCAAACGAATACAGTGACATACAAATATAATTTGTGAATTAAAATGAAGACGTAACTTTATGATCGCAAAGAAACAACAATAAATAAGGTAGTCCGTTTCGTTCCTTCCCTTAGACAAATTACAATTACAAAAAAAAAACAATGAGCCTTTCCCGGAACTCATCAGTAAGGAAGAAAGGCTTCAATAATGAACGATTTTAACGAAGCTAAATATCATTCACTGTTCAAACCAAGAAAAGGATAGAGTAAACGTAAAAGCAAATAGTTTAAGGGAACTGCGACATAAAGCGAATAAACAAATGCGCTGTTCAGAAACGCAATCGCGCAATAGAAACAAACGCCAACCACAAACGCCCAAGTGGATTTGAATTATAGCGTGGCGTCCATTAAGGCCCGCGGCTTTACCAAAGTAATACGTGGGCGGCGTGCGATAAGGGCCGCGGCTTGCCCGATGCAGAGGCTCTGTTAATGCCCGGGGCTCGCCCGAAAACTATATATACGGTGCGTTCAGTAAGGCCCAGGGCTCGCCCGAGTGTTTTTGCTTGATCCGCGGGTGTTCCAATAAAATATTTAGAGCCCGCGGCCCTTCCCTCGCAATAACGTTGCGCCGCGGGTCGCCAAGCAAATAATTGAAGGGTCGCGGATGGTCAGTCCAGGAATTTAAGGTCCGCGCACCGCCAAACCGCCAAAAGTCAACGTTAGCGGCCGCGGGTGCTCCCAATAATTGTCTGAGCACATGCTTTAGTCCTCGTCTCCTACTCGATGGATCACTCTTCTCCCAGTCCACTTGACGTTATGGTTTTGAGCCAAATCAACTTTTTCTCGGAAATGCGAGAACTATGATTCTATAGAGATCAATGGACAGCACTTGTATCCTGCAGATCCTCACCGCTATCGATGCCAACTTTTCGTCTAATCCACTTGCATATATTCGTTGCGAACAGATTCGTCAAAGAAACAACGCAATCGTAAAACCATTATCTATGATAAAACCAATATAACTCGTTTTTGCGTCTTCTTTTAGGCTAGGATGATTTTTTTGCCTTTACCAGGTTGTGTTTGAATTCTTTAGGTATTTCCGACCACGTCATGCTCAATAACATCTCCCATCATTACCAGACGGCTACCTGAAGAAGCAGGAATCCAGGACACTTACAATTAATGTCAAAAAGGATTCTCTGTTAGTCAGTTTCTTGGTACAGCAATAACGCGCTTAACTCTGAATGGGATCATCATTTATCAGTAACAAATTGATGCTGCTACGAAGTTCATGCATTGTGTTGCATTCATACCTCAATTAGTAAAACCCCTGTAAACATTGGTATATATGCATAACTAGCTTGCTTACCCGGCTCCGCTCGGCCCTGTCAAAACACTGTAATAAAGTTCCCATCCCCATCCCTGTAAAGCCTTTCCCTCTGCTCACTTCTACAGCTTATTTCCAGCTTCCTGTGTTGTTTTCGAAATCAGCATGCCCATTTACCCCCCTGTGTCAACTCCCAGCTCTGTAGCTCAAACTTTGCAAAAAATCGATAAAATCGATAAAAGTAATCGGTAATTCTGGAAACTAATATCGTATTCATAATCGCCATAATCACTTACCCACCCCCTTGTTAACCTCCAGGCCTGTAGCTGAAACTTTGCAAAAAATCCATAAAAGTAATCGATAATCCTCGAAACAAATATTGTATTCGTAATCAGCATGCTCGATTACCCTCGTGTGCAAACGCCCAGCCCTGCAGGTCAAACTCTACAAAAAAATCGAAAAAATCAACAAAATCAATATCGATCGATGACGAAAAGTAGCCTATGACACCCGCCGGGGCCCGAAGTGTATGTGTGCCAAGTTTGGTCCGGATCGGTTCAGAAATGGAATTTTCTATTCGGAACACACGTACGCACATACAGACATACAGACATACAGACAGACAAACAGACATTCAGCTTTATATATAAGATTTCTTGCATGTTGCATGTCATTCAAGCATCCTACATCACACCAAATCCCCTTAATCCCAGAAGAGTGCAAAAACCAATGAAAATTGACTTTAACATCCATTATACTGGACCTACAAATTCAATGGGTGACGTAGGCTTGCCATCATGTTTATGTTATTAGCATTAATGGCTAGCCTGTAGAAATGCAGCTCCGCACTTTGTTAGTAAATAAATCTGATATCTCTGTTTCGTTTATATATGTGTATACCAATGGCGGTCCCAAGATTTCCGTCCGGGGAGGGGAGGCGGGAAAAAAATTTTTCCCATCGAAGGTGTTGCGTTAGCCATCCACTCCGAAGAATTTTTTGGGGTGCTTTTCATAATTTTTGCGGATCCCCAAACCCTAAAATCTGGATAGGGGGTGGCGTCAGCCACGCCCCCTAAAGATTTTGTTAAAGACTAATTTAAATTTTAAATATTGTTTACAAGAATAAACAAGTCACTTGCGCACTTTTATAACCCATATAAGTAATTTTCAAAAACTCCACGACCCATTCTCGGGGGGATGAGCGCGCCCCCTCCCCCTCTTGTCCGCCATTGGTGTATACGTATGTTTGTTTTTGAGTTGTTTGATGAGCTCGTAACTTTGCACAATCAACGAAATGACATTCTTCAGAATTTATTTGATAATGTATGTCCCATTGTTGCACCCATCAACCAGGTTTTCTCCAAATTAGCGGGACTGGTCTTAAATTCATCTAGCCAACAATGTAACTCAATGTATTTATGCCGACTTGCAACGTACTATTGAATCTGAGAAATCATACAGCTGTGCAACTTGCCTGCCGAGTCAAGTCTCCCCCTCCCTCCCCCAGGTCTAAAAATGAGCAGCGCAATTCGTAAAAGCGGCCATGAATTAATCCATAATGCGAATGCTTTTTCTGTTAGCGAACAATATGCCCTTACGTAAATTCAGGGTCAAATGCTCGCAAAAACATAGAAATGCGCACCAAAAAATTCTGCCGAGAAAGAGGGCTAATGCCACCCTCAACAAGTCAAGAAAAAACTTTCAGCAGTAAAAAACATCCTAGAAAATTACTGCAGCTGCAACTATCTTGGTAACTATATCTCCAGAAAAAAATAGCATACTTTTTGAGAATATAATATGCCTGAATCAGACTCACGGACTTGGTTGACAGTGTCAAGAAAATGCCATAACTCAGTAGAGTGCTTCAGAAATGTCAGCTTTTGACAACTGCTTGCAAATCTGCTCTTCCATATAAGTACAAATGACCGCGCTTTTGGCACATCAAAAATTGGCATTCTCATCAAAATGAAATCCACTCAATAAGCAGTGTGTTTTCGCGCACTTTATTCATGGCACTTTGGTATCAAAACCAATTTTAGCGTTCGCTTTGAATTTTGCACTCATGTGGTTGAATCGGATGACTTACCAAAGTAAATGCGCAGCTTTTATTGCGAACATTCTATTCATAAATGAAGCTGTCAACGAGATTGCTTGTGAGAAACTCAGACAAAAGAATATGATTTTTTATGGAATTGAAAAGCCGTAGTTTTTGCGAAAGAAGTCAATGTGAGCTTGAAGAAGTCGATGACGGCAACAAAGCAGTCACTTGTATTACAATCCTCTTCTAGTCAGCTGTTGTCTGATTGCGAAGGGTTGTGATAATCATTTCTTGACCCCGAGAAGAGCAGAATAGGTAAAATACATGGAAAATCTCCTATAAGGGCTAATAGTTACATGCCTGCAATAAGCCTGAAAGCTGATTTCAAATTTTGCTTCTTGACTGCCAAGCCATATTATGAAAAGTTTTGGTAGAGCGTGCTCATCAGCATGCCTTGTTACCCTGTCATCGACTAAGTGCTCAAGCATTTAAGTGAAGCCCCTCATCAAATCGAAGGTCCTATGCCAAAATGATGTCCTGGATATCTTGCGGAATACAGACTACTTGTAAGAAATGTATACAAAAGGAGATTAGAAAACATAAGATAGGAGTGTTTTCAATGCGCTATCCCACGTATAAGGAATGAGCGAATAGAAAGATAACACAAGCAATAAGCATTAGTGCTAGAGAATGCTTGAGTAACAATGATTGAGTACATACAGATGTTCGCTTGCTGCATCATCATTACTTCTGCAGCTCCAATCGTTTTTGTCTGTCCGAGATCTTTCTGTCGACGGGAATGTTGCATCTGCTAGCATCGTGGATTCATTCCTTGGCATTCCTCAACTAGTTTCTTTCTTTAGCAAGTATTTAAAAAATTGTCTATTGCAATGCAATTCGCGACACGAACGTCTAGCTGCTGTTGAGGGGTCATCCCGCGCAACTCTCATGCATAATAGTGCTTAAATGCATCGCGAGCCGCGATAGTCATCTAAGTTTTGATCACTTGCTAAATCTAACTTGTACTAAATACTGATGTGAGCAGAAAATCATGAAAATGGTTCGATCGGGTAATGATTTTGCGCTAATTGTTTGCCGAAACAACCCATTAACATCAAAAAAGCAATTCATTCCCGAATGGCTCATTCCCAAATGAAGATATCTCCGTTCATTTTAGAAAAAAATGGAATATAGAAACAGTTCGTCAATTCAACCATTTCAGCTTAAGATTAGTGTTGCCTTTAGTCTCTTATACACACCGCTCCATCACAAGCGGCACCGTTGAAATAGCACTGATTGTTTGAGTTCTGTGGTACATAAGGCTGACAGTCGCTC